TGAAGAAAAGAATTCTGCAATCATTGGAATCTTGAATCGCTTGTCCACTTCCAGCCAGATGTCTTTCCTGAGGCCATTCCCAAAAGCCACTCTGATCTTATGTACTCCATCTAACGAGCTCTGTTGTCAAGAAACGTAATAAAACTTAATTTATAATATTGAGCATTTTTTGTTTTTGTTTTATATATCCATAAACCATGAGTTGTTAACCCTTTGGCTCGGTACTATGGGTATCGCAACTCTTCGGCCTCGATTCCATGATAAATACCGTAAATCTGGAGAAAATGTGGTCTTTCTGCTACCTCTGGGAGTGAACCTGGACCACAAGGAGTTCGTCAGCCGGTCACCGCGAAGTCAGGTTTAGCCAACTACGCCAGAGAACCGGACATATTGCGCATATAAAAGAATACAAGTCGGTCTCATAGAAGATCATGTCATTAGCATATGAAGCTTAGTTGTATCATCTGCGTCCCAATGTCAGGCGCATTTTATTGTTTCAAACCCACACCCTGGCTGCTACAGCGGGCCCTAATATAACCCTCTCTCTGGGTTTAACGTGGTTTCTGAGACCTTATTCTCTCCCCTCTCCCGGTTGATCCTTATCTAAATAGTGGCACTTTGTTACACCGAGTGTTTATCGCTTGGTGTGATGTCTTGATGGGGTTAAAGGTAATCATAATCAGTATATGAAACTTTAAAATATAGAGCTGATTTAAAAGGGTATGATGCTTTGAGTAATCGATCATTGTCTCCCCTTACCCCCTGACATTTGATGTAGTCTAGCCACTTCCATTACTTTCGGCCCTTTTAGTTATTTAATTTATACACACAATCTTCCCGTCCTTTTTAGGACGAAATCTTTCGTTATTTGAAGCCCAACTCTGGCTCTTGCCAGGGGCCGCAGTATAGCCTGGCCATAAATATGGCCTAAAGGCTGAAGGCGGTTTCTGGGACCTCTCCGCGGTGATCCTCACTCACATGGTGGCACATTGTGTCATCGGGTGTTTATCGCTTGTGTGATGTCCTGGTGGGGTAGAAAGTCAGTCAGTCAGTCCGCCCTTTCTGTTTATTAAAACAACATGTCTAAAATTCTGTAAACTATTCTCTGCGAAAAGTTAAAAGTAGTCAAAAGGATTGACTTTGCACTGGGTTTTATCAAAAGCGGCTGGGTCTCTCTCTCTCTCTCTCTCTCTCTCTCTCTCTCTCTCTCTCTCTCTCTCTCTCTCTCTCTCTCTCTTTCTCTGGAGAACGGCTAGCCACCTGCCGAGAGCATCGGAGGAAGCAGGAACTCCATAGCTCCGGCAACGATTACCAGAGATATTGGTTAAAAATGCACTCGTGAACTGCACGAAACAGCCGTGAATTGACCTCGCGACCTTCAGAGCGAGAGGTAAACGGCTTGATCACGTGGCCACAGAGACCCCAGTCTGGTGCAGATGTTTATCACGATACGTGACCCCAGAAGCGAAAAACGATCTGGTGAAGCATCCGTATATAAGCAATAAATGTTTGGCTGATTAAAAAATGTAGTAAGAAAGAATAAATCTTTTCATAGATTGTATACTGGCATTTGCTCAATGCCAGTATGTCTTCGTCTTCTTCGCGTTCAACAGCTGTAAACTCTGGCGGAAAGTTATGGTTGTTCATCCACTTCTGGACTGCAATTCTTTTCCATAACCTGTAACGTGTGCATCCGTTTTACAGATCTGTCTTATTTGTATGCAGACTGCTGGTTCCTTGCCTCTCAGGCAGATGCACTCCGACTTTGAAGAAAGCTCTTAATTAGTCGATCCCTACGACATGTTTTGAGAGTAGGCAGTGGGTGTGTTCATGTTTTCCTTATTGGAGGGCCCCGGAACCTACACGGGGATCCCTTATGTCAATTCAGCTTCTTCTTTCTTGTTCCTCTATAAGTTCGAAAAAAAAAAAAAAAGCATATGCCCTTTATTCCACAATTCAAGATCTTTTATTTCTCTTGCACTTTCTTCTGTTACTTTAGTATTTTCATCATCTGTAGCTCTAATTCTTTCGGTAATTATTTATATCCCTACATCAGGAGCGCAAATATATGTAGGCTCAGGGCCCCCCCCCCACCCCCACCCCCCCCCTCCCCCAGCTCCCCCATCCGCGCCGAAAATTGTAAGGGGGATGTGTGCCCTTTAACTTTGTAAAAAAGTCCTCTTTCAAATATTTATTTGTAGATTTCATTTTTTTTTTATATATCATTATATTTATTTATCCTTCAGCATATTTAAATAAAAATTATTATTATTGCCCACTTAAACAAAGAATGACTCTTGAACCAATTGTATGTATAAGCTGCCTGATCTCCCTGCTTCCCTTCAATTCTGACTCCCTCCCCCCCCCCACCACCCCCCCCCAACCCCCCCCCCTTCCCCCAATCCCTCTCCTCCCAACGCCTTTTCACACTTATATTTGTTGTGTGTTGATACTCTGTCTTACATCACATCTTTGGCACAGATTAACTTCCTTTTGGGTGAACATTGGTCGCTCTGGATCAGTATCGATATTAGTATTAGGAACTTTCGCCATCTGCACTTTATTCCTTTTCAGAGCACTGGTACTCACAATAATTCTCATGGTATCGTCCCATCTCTCGATACCGTTTGTATGTCCTCTTTATCTTATCCACTTCTATCTGTAGTCCCCACCCCCTCTTTCCTTATACTCCCATTGTTCAAATAAGTAACAAGAGGGTATATTTCAAACGCAAATAAAATAGTGAATTTGTAACAAAGTGAAAAATTACGAAAACAGACACACCCGCGTTACTAACCTCTGGCTGAGCAAGGAGGTATCTGAACAGTTCTCCTATATATTGTATGAAAGTCACTTCATATCGTCTGCAGTCTGACCAAAACTGGCTTGCTGAGAACTTTTTCTTCAACACCAGCTTTGCTCCTGTTTATCAAATATATAAACGCACTAGATTCTTTGGATAAATGTGCAAGCTTGTTTATAAACTATTTAAATGAGCTATGCTATAGAATATTCAGAAAAAATCATTTCTAATATTTAAATGTGTCGATATTCTAATATTATGAAGCTTTATTACAGTGCAAGCAAACTAAAGGAGAATAAGAAAAAAAAGTTGGAATAGTTTAGATCTTATGAAACTGAGTTTTAAGAATGAATGTTAATTAAACCTTATTTCAGTGGTTCTCAAACGTTTTTCTTCGTGGCTCCCTTAGGTTAGAAAGGAATCGCTGCACAGCTACGCTTAAAGAGGTTTGAATACTTAAAAAAAGTGCAAATATAAAGTTAATTTGCTTTAATGCAATGAATGAAACTGTTTGGACTTGACTGCACCTTAATGAAAGCAGGCAGGGGATCGGTCGCACTTCAAAATAAATACACGGACAATTCTTAGCACGTTGCGGTTGGCATATTATGCAATATGAAACATTTGTAGGTGTGAAACACAAAAACAAAACAAAACTTTTCGACAGTGGCGAGGGAAGACAACTTAAATATCAACTTTGAAGTATCTTCATGCTATTTTTTTAACCATTTTAATTTTTAGCCGACTTTTCTTGATCTTTGACGCGGCACCCCTGGCATACGCTCACGGCATCCCAGGGTGCCGCGGCATCCAGTTTAAGAACAGCTGCCTTAGACAACTAGAGCAACCAATAACGATTTTTTTTTTTTTTTGGGGTAGATAATGCTGGGGGACCTAATTAGAGTAGGCTTTCTTTGGTTAACTGTATAAAAACATAAAATTGAAATTTACCCTAGGCCATTTCCAGGGATTATATTATTGGCTCGACCTTTAAGACAAATCTGCTTGTGCGGGAGTTCCAACCTCTGACCACTGAGTCGTCAGGCTGTTGTGCTTTTCACTATGTGACTGCCGCTCCAACGACCTATTAATCTTTTAATCATGATAAAAACTCATGGTTTGAAGACTAAATAGTCTCTGTTTTCTCATGGATAGGAAGTTTCAAGACTGTGGCTGTTGGGTTGACCCAGCTTGTTAAAACTAGAAACTAGATAAGTTCCCATATTTTCTCAGATTATTCTTGATAGGAATGGCAAGGAGAATGGAAACCGCCATAACCATCACATACTGTGATTATAACCGACTCACAAAGCGTGCTCGTTGCAAAGTTGCAAGCATCGATTCAGAGGTCCCGGGTAGTTAGCCATCTTTGGATTTTGTCCTTGGGGTATGCAGGGTTGTTGAGAAATGAACAGGCAAACATACTAGCTGGTTCTGCACTATTGGGTGGTGAAATTATGCCTGACAAACTAGATGTGGTCATAGCCCTTTAGGAGCAAGTAAACAATGCAAAGGCACGAATAGACAGTTATGGTCTGGAGAGAATAGTATAGTTAGGAGTGACCAGGGGATCTGGTCGAGATTCTACTCAGGAAAATCAATACGAACATATAGTCAAATTGCTACTGGCACCATTGTAATCAGAACGCTTCGCTGGCTTCTGAAGATGACTACGAAGCGGGTATGGGATTGCCCTGAGCGCTATAATGTCATTATTTTTTTTTTTTTAACTCAACAGTCCTTCATATGTCGTGGCTTAGAATGTATAAAGACCAAATTCTTCACAATCCCTTGCTAATTTCAACTATCTGACAACCTTTGACTTACTGTTGTATAATTTCTAAGTGCATTATCTACACTGAATCCATTAGTTACACTTATGGGTGTCTACTATTAGTAGCCCTGAACACGAACCATGGAACCTTCATCTGGACAACAGGAACAAACAGGAGGACCCAGACATCAGTGACGTTCAACCTCACTAGGAGGTACAAGGAGCCATAAACACCAGGTGACACAAAGTGCCGCTGTTCAGATGAGAATCACCTCGGTACAAGTCCCATAAACCCATTCAACCATTAGGTTATATAAGCGTCCCCGAATAAAGCGGGTATGGGGCTTTAAAATCACACAAAAAATACTGGGGCGAGGTTTTTTATTTATGAGGACCCATATTATTCAGTGTGACAACGTCACATACACTTAGGGAAAATAAGCCACAACCCTTGGCACAACAGGCCATTAACCCTTGACACATCTTACAAACTATGCACTTGGCACAAAGAGACCTCAGTTATAAACATGGCTATTCTCAACCGGGTTGAACGTGGTCAGTCTTTTTCTTTTATGAAACCAGTGGCAGCAATAACAAGTAACTCTGCTGAAAATTTCAAGTATGTTATAGATGAGGTTATTCGACGGCCCTATCCCTTCCCCTTTTACACCCTTTTTTCCCACCTGTTACCTAACCACCCATCACCCCCCCCCTCCCCTCCCCCCTGTAAATAGATTGTTAGGCACTTATAACACATTTAGCCACAGAAACAGGTTACCTAGATCTACTTACAGGTGCAGGCAAAAGAAGAGTTAATGCGTACTAAAAATACAAATGCCTCTATCAGATTCGACATGGCCAACGATACCAGTGTCAAGCATTGAATAAATGCATACACACGACTGTATCAAGTGAAAGTGAAAGCTGTTTATTCCAGTTCCAAACGTGCTGAGTAATGATCAGGGGCACCAAAACCTGTTAGATTAGGTCCCTTGAGACCCACTTCCCCATCCCCCTTCCCAACCACCGAAACATTGGGGTAGGTGGTCGCTTGAAAATGTGTCAGATGGCTAAGCCCAGACCCCTGTTAACAATTCATAACCCTTCGAAATTGAAGCTTCATTGCTCGTTTCTCTTAACCTAGCTCCAAGCATGCCACAAATGCTGTAGGATCAGAAAAAACGGCTCTGTTTGTCCGCATGTCGGAGCTTCTCTCCCAGAATAGTTGCCAACCAAGGCTACAGACCGCGTCTGCGGAGACGACCCTTAACAGCAAAATAGTTGAAGGTTGATGATGATGGTGATGATAATCACGATGATGATAATAATAATGAACATGTTTCTCAGCCCGCTCCTTTCTGTCCCAGTGCCTAACATAGTTTGTATTTTACAAAGATTTATAAACATTGTTGTAATTTTGTAATGCCGTCTCCACATTGGATGTTGCCTACTAGTGGATACATACACCTACTACTGTCTGTGAGTATATTAAACAGTGGTGCTTTAATATGTAACATTGTGCCAATCTCTATCTCAGTCTGGATGCAACCCGTATGGTTTTCTTCGTCTAATATGCCTGGGTGAAAAAAAAAGAACCCTGGTGGTTCCAGCTTAACATCTCAGTTACAGATACGCACTTACTATCTTTTACAGTAATTAATACAATCAACGCGACGTTTAACAGTAAAATGGAAGTTGATGGTGATGATGATGATGACTATGATGATAATGATGATAATGACGATGATGATGATGGCTATGGTGATGATGATGGTGATGACGACGACGATGATGATGATGATGATGACTGTGGTGATAATGATGATGGTGACGTTGATGATTGTGATGATAATGATGACGGTGCTGATGACGATGGTGATGATGATGATGGTGACGATGATGATGATGATGACGATGTTGATGATGATCATGATGATCATGAAGACAACGATGATGATGACGACGACGATAATGAATAATTTTATGGTGCAGACTTTGTGTAGACTACAATCTACGATTCAAATTTAAAAAAAAAAATTAAACTATTTTAACAAGCACACAAATCCAAATTATTTCTAAACAAAAACAAACTCGCAACAATGATAACCTGTGACGATAGCTCCATAAAGACCCAGGCCTCCCCCTGCACTGTGGTATAAGGGCAGGACAGTGTAAATAATGTCTGACTTGGACAGACCCACCAAAACTGTTCTGCTTCCTATGGATATGGCTCGTCTCTGGGTGATCAATGCTGGCTTGGGGAGTCCTGGGACAATATACAAGAACACTCACTTAGGCATTAGTTATCTATACAATAATGTAGGAAAGTAGGGAATAGAGGTACAGTCTTTAACGATTTGTTCCCAGTAATTAATACCGATAAACATCAAGCAACAATCACAGATTACAACACAGAATTGGACACTGAAGGATGTAAGCACTGAGGGGAGTAGATGATCGGTGACGCAGAGGCTAGGCCAGGATCCCATTAGCGACTAGTTTTAGTAATGCAAACTCCTCAGGTGTAGTCAAGCTCGCCAGTGGCAGCAATCAACACTTGGAAGTACTGCCGGCTACAACCGGTCGCTGTGGTCTAGACGGGACGTCATTTTGGTTGAAAGTTGCATGACAGCTAAAGCGCCAGAATCATACATTAGAATACTGGTCAGACAACACCCATCGATGTACACACAGGAAAGGCATATTAATCTTTCTTTTAACTTTAGATGAGGTGGTGTGTTGAGCACACAAAAAACTGCAGTCTATGAAACAGAACTCATATATTGTATGGCGGAAGAATTTTAACGAAATAAAAAGTAAATAACCAACCTTTAATAAATAACTGAGATAGATCTAAAAAAAACGAACACACCATTAACGTCGTTAGAAGAAAGATATTCGGACTTCGTGTAAGAAGAGAGTTTATAAACATTCGATAATAGTCAATAGCCTGTTAGAAGTACATGTGAGAAGCTAAAGACAATTGTTTAAGGGGTCACTACACGGCATTTTCCCCAATTTATGACAAAAATATCACTTTTTCAATGTGTTCGTTTTTGTAAAGTTCGGCATTCGTACAATAGATGACACAAAAAATTTATGTCATTTGTAAACAATTTAGCATTGAAAAGTTAATACTAATGACACCACCTCGTGCACTTTTTAAAGATAAAAAAAAGTTTAAAAGTCCGTTTTCTAAAATCTTTATATTTCAGTTTGCTGTGTGTGTGAAATCCTAAAATCTAAGCTAATATAAAGAGTAGAATCATCAAATTGTGTATGCGTACTCCAGAAACAATATTATAGGGACTGGTCTTTCTAAAAGTAGATTTTAGAAAGTTTTTGTTTCTAAAATTTGATTATTGTCTTATGATGCTAGATTTTTTTGACTTTTTCAATAAACCTACATTTTAAAATTCTATGAAAAATATTTAAAAACATGTTTAAAGTAAATAAACTAGACCAGTACCTCTAAATAGGACAAAAGGCCATGGATCTATCATCTATTGTTGAATACCTATGTTTGCTTTTAAAATTTAAGGATTGTAAGTACATAGTTTTTTTTTTCACAAGATGGCGGCTATTGCCTTGACAACTATGATTTTTTAGCACTTAAAGTATACAAATGTAATAAAATGTATCCCTACAAATGGCCATTATAAAATAACTGCTCTAAGTCTGTAAATAAAAAAAATAAAAAATGTTTGTGTAGTGACCCCAAATGAAATGATCGTCGTTTCTGTACTGACATTGTTTTTGTATAATAAACACTCTTAATTTCGTGTGACTTGGATCACTGGTCGTGATGTTATGAAAAAACAAACATAATAAGACTATCTAAGCACCTATGTCCCTTGCGGCATGCTTGAAGGAACTTGGGAAGCATGAACATCCTGATTGTAAGGTACTAATTATCTACGTATTGAAGCATCAATTATCAGCCTTATAAAAGTAAAGCTTAGCAAGATATTTTTTAAATGATAAGTTGCAAACTCAAAACTGAATTAATTATACAGATTTTATAAAAGCTGTTTGTCATCTTTCCAGAGGACACGGTTCGATAGTACTGTCAGGAGAATCAAAGCGCCTGCCAACACCGCTTAATGCCAGAGAAAAGGTTCCTCCTCTCCATAAAACAAAGGCTGTTTAAACCATTTATTGTTAATTTTGTAAACTCCAAAGGAAATGTTACATAAATATATTTCCAACAAAGCATCCTGCAGAGGCCGACGGATCAGGAAAGCAGCTCTCTGCTGTCCCCCTCTCGGATTGTTTCTTTCCTAATGTGTTCCTCTATCCAAGGACTTTTGTGCAAGTAGTGTGTTAGGTTTGATCTACACCGCCAAACACGTCATGTTAATAGCCAGTGCCTATTACTCTGTATAGGGTAGATGGTTCATTTATTTATTTTCAAGTCCCCCCCCCCCCTTTTTTTTCCAGGATTGCAGTCTGTAGGATTAACATCTTAAGGATGAGAATTAGACAGGTACAAATCCCAGAAACCTCCTTCAACCGTATCTGACTAACACATGACAAGCTGGTATCAATGATAAAATATGAATGCCACTTACCAGTCGACAGGAAACTCTTCCATACATTTGTGAGTCAGTAAAGTCTGTATGTGTCCACTGTTGAGGTTTTTTTTTTTTTTTTTTTAATGCATCAAGCTGGCAAAATGAAATGTGCATTATCTGCCTCTGTCTTCTGCCAAAAGTTGAAACATAGGAAAGCTGCGTGGTCTCGAAGCATTGCGTCCGCCTCGAGTGCTGAAGGTTCCGGGTTCAGCCTCCTGTGAAGGCTGGGATTTTTTTCTTCACATGGACTTCTATAATTTCCCCTGGTGTCTGGGTAGTAAGATGGGACGCTCGTGTGTATTTTGTCTAATTAAAAAAATCCCTTGGCAGTTGAAAATATAAAACAGTAGCTTAACGGCGCTGCCCATGCCAAATTTGGATTTAAAAATATACCCATAGTATTTCAGGATCCTCGCCGGTTCGTGCACTGCGCTGAGATTCTTCGGACTCATGCTTGAGTCAGAAGTAGAACGGAGCCCTTATGCGTTATTACCCGTGTGCCACGATGTTGATCCAAAGGATCAGGATTCAGGATTCATAAGAACAAAAATTCCAAAATTGTGACCTCTTTCAGCTGCCTGACGGCTTGCTATATCGAAGTCGGTTCAATGGTGGTGTGATTTGTATTTCTTCCTTGCGGCGAACATTTTCGCCTGAGTTTTCTTGCATTTGTTGCGTTCTTGTTAGCAGCGTGAGCTTGGCGGGCGGCTTGCAGGTTTAGGGAGGGGACATGGCTGTCCTGAGAAGGACAGCCATGTGTGCCGGGTGGCCTGGAACGGGATGGGTGAGAGTGGTCAATCTGGTTGACTGGGCTTCGTCGCGTCAGTGAGGTTGGCTAGTTCCACGGAGACTGGGTGTCATGGCGGCTTGGAGGTTTTCGATTGGCTGCTGGCTTCGTCTTGTTTTGGTGGCTTGTCAGTACTTGCGGTTGCGTCGGTTTGGTGTACCCTGAGTCCTTTGTTTCCATCTTGCATGGGCCAGCTGTTTTCGGGCTGCTTCTATCTGGTCCTGGAGTCCGTTGATTTTATCAAAGAAGGCTTGCCTTTCCACAGCGGGCAGCAAGTAAACTTTCTCCAGCTCTGGCTCGTCATACACGATATCGTAGCGTCTTCTATTATCGAGCTCGAGCCTGTGTGGGTGGTTCAGTTTGTTAAAGCTTTCTATCATTTTTAGAAGGTCAGCCTGGCTTTCCACCTTTATGGCTACCGCCTCTTTGCTTCCTTCGGGAATAGTGGCCTCATCTGTGGTTGGGGTCGCCTCTGTAGCTTCGGACACGGCTACTTCAACTGGCTGGACAGTGCCTTCCTCTTCGGTTTCTGTTTCGGTACTTTCGTCGGCCCTGCTGATGTTTGGGTTTGCGGCTGGTGCCTTGCTTCTTTCTGCTAGTAAGAGTTCTCGTTCTTGTTTTGCCTCTCGCGTAGCTGCTTCTGCTTCTGCTGTTGTTTTTACTAGCAGGGCGACTTCTCTGTACGCGGACTCTCTGGCTTCGTTAAGTAAGGCCGTCTCTGCCTTTCTTTCTTCTCTTTCGGCTAGTCGGTAGGTTGCTGCCTGGTCCTGTTCTGTCTTCAGCTGTGTCAGGAGGCCTTGTAGTTGTTTGTTTGCTTCAGTTACTTCTGCTAGCAGTTTGGTGTGGTGCGCAGCTTCTGCTATTCTGTCTCTCTTCTGGGCTCTGACTTCGTCTAGTGTTTGGGAGATTAGTCCCAGCATCTCGAGTCTTTCGGCGGTGGCCTTCTCTTTGTCTGCTGTCAGCTTCTGGACTGCGATTTTGAGTGCTCTCACTTCCTGGGTTATCGCGTTGTTGTTAGCGACTGGAATCACTTTCTCTGGTCTTCTCTCACTACTTGGAATTGCTGCTTGCTGCTTGCACTTTTTTAGGTAGGTGCAGCCCATGTATCTGGCGCTGTGGGGCCCTCCACAGTTTGAACACTTTCTGCTACTGTTAGGCTTTTTAAAGTCGGGGTCCTTCTTGGCAAGTGGGCACTCCTTGAAGTCGTGCGGCTTAGAGCAGTAGCGGCATGCTGGGCTGCTGCGGCAGTTTGCGGCTGTGTGCCACGCCTTGTTACAACGTGAGCACTGGATGATGATGTTGTCCCTGCTGTGGGCTCCTGGTTGTCTTTGTAGGCGGGTGCCGGTAGGTTCCTGCGCCACGACTGGGGCGGCTTCTTGTGCTGGCGTCGGTGTGCGAGGCACCGCGATAGGGGCGCCTGCCGGTGAGGCTGCTGGTACGGCTCTCCTCTTCCTTGGTGTAGGTACGGCTGCTTGTTGTTCTCCCATGATAGGAAAATCAATGATGGCAATTGCGATCTGTGGCCAAAGCTAGGTCCCTTCGGAGTCGGCAAGGCTTGTTAGAGTATCCTAAAAAGGACACCCAAGCGTGCTTTCTCCTTAGTTCTCTAGCAATCGTTAAAAAAAAAAAAAAAAACTGGCTGGTATTTCTGGCTCTACAACAATGATGTGCTCCCGGGCCGCCAATAACCCACCCGCAGACGAATAACAATTGTCTAGTCGAGCCAAAACTCAGCCGAATGTCAAGCGAGTTCTGACCAGTATCTAGCTATTGATAATCTGGCTACGACTGGATAGTTGGCAAGCTAACGAGAGACACACACGTGGCTTTATCGGGCGGTATCGAGCGAGCGAGAGAGAGCTGTGTGCGACTGGGCTGTCGGACTGCGAATGTGTGATGTGATTCTTGATCCAAAGTCTAAACCTTAACCTAAAAAGGTTAAACATTTAACTTACCTGTTGTACCAGACGTGTAAATGTAACAGAACATGTCGTTCATGGCTAAGTCTTTCCTGACATCGGGTGAAACAGCCAATGGCAGAGTCGTTAACATCAGAGGGTCGAACGATTGGACTCCGACAGGTGCCTGCAGGAGACCCAAGCCTTGTACGTACACTTTTAGATCTCCCAGATCATGAGTGACTTCTCTCACAGCATCTAGCAAATCGTCTCCTTTGGATAACGCAAACGAGCTGCGTAAATAGTGTGTGTGTTTTTTTTAGGGGGGGGGGGAGGAAAGAAAGAAAGAAAGAAAGAAAGAAAGAAAGAAAGAAAGAAAGAAAGAAAAGAAAGAAAGAAAGAAAGAAAGAAAGAAAGAAAAAAAAAGAAAGAAAGAAAGAAAGAAGAAAGAAAAAGAAAGAAAGAAAGAAAGAAAGAAAGAAAGAAAGAAAAAAGAAAGAAAGACAGAAAACAGAAAGACAGAAAGACAGAAAGAAAGAAAGACAGAAAGAAAAAGAAAGAAAGAAAGAAAGAAAGAAAGAAAGAAAGAAAGAAAGAAAGAAAGAAAGAAAGAAAGAAAGAAAGAAAGAAAGAAAGAAAGAAAGAAAGAAAGAAAGAAAGAAAGAAAGAAAGAACATACTGTTATTATTATTTCTATCATGCATTCAAATGTTGTTTAGCTACAACCCTCATGGTAAACGAAAACCTTAGTGAATTTGCTGTGGTTAATTTGCATGAACATCAACCACTTTCCGCTTTTAAGGAGGACCTGGTTGATGTCTTGGGCTGTATTTCCCACGCCACTGTTGTAGATGGCGCAACATTCTGACTCTCGTTTGAAAAGAGGGAAAGCTGCCAACGGCTTCAGCTCAATTTTTATTCTACTTTGTTTGGATAGTTGAGGGTTAAAATCGATGTTAAGTTACACGGATTTAAAGTGATGTTAATTAAAAGTACACGCAATAAAATAGATGTTAAAAGTACGCGGATTAAAATACATGTTAAAAGTACGCGGATTAAAATGTGCTCACATGGTGTTGAAATTAGTACATTAAAACATACAGTTTAACTTATTGTGATCGTTAAATTATTTTTCTTCAGCAATTAGAGCCCTTGAGGTTAATCACTGCAGATATTACTTCCTCCATTAATCTATGTGATCGGCCTTCTCTTTCCATTTGGTAACTATGTCTGTAGATCTGCTTGGATATCATCTCTCCACTGTCTTCTGTGTCGGCCTTTTGGTCTGCGGCCATTCAACACTTTGTGCACACAGTTTTTCCCTCCCTGTCGCTTGTCACATTCTTCCTATATACCCCAGCCATTTCAGTCAATTAGCCCTGGTGATACCAGTCAAAAAAGTGATCTGAACATATTATGAATGTCGTTGCTATTTCTCACTTTCCATTTCCCGTTGTTTGCTTCTTTGATTAGCACAAAGATTCGTTGTATGACTTTGCTTTCAAAAGTTTGTAACAAAGATCCATATTGTTTGGTTATGCTTCAGGTTTCATAATCATTTGGGACAACTGGTCTTTGCGTTTTGTATATTATGATCTTGGTGTTCCCAGACAATGCCTTTGATTTATTTTAGCAGACATATTCTAAGTTGTATTTCTTCTTTTTGTGCTTTGAAGCAGTTGCATGTTTGGTTTTTATAATATCGATTTAAGTCTTTCCCTTCTAGAATATAATATGAAACATCTGTGTGTAAAAACAAGTCGGTGTGTCTGTATGTGAATGGTGACGTTTGTAGCAGCTGTCAGCTTGTATTGCTATCTTGCATATTATTTTGTTAAACCTGTTATGTTGTAGAACGGTGAATTAAAGCGTATGGACGAACCGATTAGGAAGGAAGGGCTTTGAAACAGTCGGTATGTGGTTTCTAAGACACATATTAGGGCCGGGAGAGAATAAGGCACCTGAGTGTAATCAGACGGGCTCACTACAATCAGAGGAAAGGCAAGACGGACATATAACCAGATTTTGACAGTTACCATCAGTATTGGAACCATGCACTGGCTGCTGAAGATGAGGACAGAGCACGAATGGGAATGCCCCGAGTGCTGTGGTGTCAATTCTTGACTCAACTTAACTTAACTGAGACGCATGCTATGAATGTCCTGGACTGTCAGAGTTATTAGAAAAGTTTATCTGGAGAAAGTTAATGAAAGTAGAAAAGTATACGTAAATATGAGAAAGGGATAAGCGGTATTCTTTAGGCATGTGTTGAGAAGTGAAGTACTGTGGAACATTGTGACAATTATGAAGGTCAGCTATGTCAGAGACAGGCATAATGCAGGATGATCTATGACGGTGGTACTGAGGAATATTATAAACAGATGGATCCCGCCATAAAAGACATAGAATCATTGGAGAGGCATGGCGGATCTTTAGGCTGTCTCACAAAGCAAATAATGATGATAATGTGGTGTTGGTTGTGTCGGGGGTGATACTGATGATGATAGCATTGGATAAATACACTATTACTTCAGAATATAGTGACCGTCTATGAAAGAGGACATAAACTATATTTCCAGCGGGAATAAAGTTATGTCTCATCCGTCAGAGAATCGAACCCTCTCCACTACACAGTAAATGAAATAACTACTTAGTTTTTGGAATGTCACCTCGCAACCATGAAATGTTTCTCTTTAATCGTCATTAAACATACTGGAACTTTAATCATATGTGTTATTTGTAAAGAAATAATAACAATTACCTGCACCGACAATCAAATACTTTGGGTCTGTAGCAAGAATGGAATGAACTAGAGGACGCATCCGTAAGTTGTAGTTAATTAACGCCACGGCAATGCCAAGTTTCTGCAAACCTATATTTATATATTTGAATATTGGAATTATTAGAATTAACAAGCATCAAAATTAGGATGTAACAACATGCGTTCTAGAGTACCTGGTATTTACTAAACAAATATAATGTGTACTCACCACTAGTCATATACATAAACAAACACACACACACACACATACCACATACGAGCATACACGCACATTCATGGTTATTGTTTTCTAGCCGTGTGAAATGGTATGCAGTACCGTCACATCTTTTGGCATCATTGTTTTCAGCGTTACGGTAAAAGGCTCCTATGTGGTAAGTAATAGGATATTTTTTTAACACTTTTCCAGTACCTTTGTTTTTAGAGATTAGCCATAAAGATATATATATATATATATATATATATATATATATATATATATATATATATATATATATATATATATATATATATATATACTCTAGGTAAAGGTCCATTTTTTTTTACACTTTAACGGCATTCGGCATATTGAACGAGCATCCATATTTTTACAGACCACATATATTGGTTTGCCAGCATAAATTTATATATATATGATGGCAAACCAAAACAGTAAATGTGTGTATGTATGTGTGTTTGCACATGCTGAAAATAACATCTGCACCACTGAAAAGTTAACAAATGTTTATAATCAAAACTTTAAATAGGTTAGAAGTTCAAAAAAAAAATTAATACAAAATGTATAATACGAGGAAATTCTCAGGGAATCTTGCACAGCAGGAGTCCACCGATCATCAGAAGAAAGGTCCCTATTGTATCGGCCCATTATCTCCCTAGACAGTCTCGGAAGGTGGACTGACCTGGTTCATGAAGTTAGGCCTAGGACATCCCCTGCTGCATTGTATCGGACGTTCGGAGAGGGACAAGACGAAATTGTGACTTTGCAACAGGTACTGTGAGATCTGGTGTTATAAGTTGTTGCTGCGGTAGCAAATTATGCGACTCTCTTCACGACCAGATTGACAAGCTTGTGGTTGGTTCATGGAATAAACGTTAGACTTTAGCAAATGGCAGAGAGACACTGGCAGACGCTTCTATCGTACGCTTTGGCTTTAAAGGGATGTGAAGTTTTTTTTTCACTAAGGGCTCAGACTAGTCTGCCGAGACCCATCCCTCACGATGTTCCAAAGCCAGCTCTAAGCTTTTTCGGCTGCTTCGCCCAGCTGTTCTAGTGCTCGTTTCCGTTCATTTTCTTACAGGCCCAGTGGTTTAGATCACTGTATGTGGATGTAAGCATAAAATAGAATGTTGACATATGTACAACAAAGATCCTACTGACGTAATGTGGATGGTAGAGAATATCTACAGGAACAAGGAAGAAAAAAAAAGATATACATTATCAAACTATCATTTAGAACAGAAGGAATAATACATATTTTTGTGCGTTAGCCCTTAAAGTGGCAGTTGCGATACCTGCGCCATTCGGCCGTATACACCCGATATTAGCAAATCCAGTTTTAAATCTATTTCCATTGGATTAAAACATAATAGTTTGAGAGAAAGAAAGAGATGAAGTAAATAGAAAAAATGAAGTAGCAAACAGATATTGAAAATGATTTATGCCATGCTCTTTGGCAGAAATGCATTATGTGTCAAGTTAAATCTGAAAAAAAATACATCTAAAACACAGACTGGTTGAAAATGAAATCTGTTTTTAAATATACAGTTGATTCTAGTGCTCCAGTAAAATTATTGCCATACCAACCTAAAAAAGTCCATATAAAAGCTGGTTCATTGTGCATCATCATTGCAACGCAGTCATTCGGTCCCAAGCCCCAGGATTTGGCAATGTTTGCCACCCTGCATGCCATCTGATCCACCAGCTCGTACGAGAACAGATTATCTTCAAAAATTAGAAATATATTTTTAGGAGTCTCTGCTGCAAGTTTTTCAAACTTGTCAATAAGAAATGTCTGTAAGGCTTCTTCCTCAAATCTGGTCATTGTTCGCTCTGCTTCAATGACCTTCAGGTCATCTTCGAGCCAGGGAAATGATGCCTTGTCTGAGGCCAATGCCGAGCTGATGGCAGCAACAGAGTGGGGTACTATCTTCTGGGCTGGTGCCATGGTTGTACTGCTTCTGTTTGAAATAAACACAATACAGCAACTAAAGAGATGAAAGTAAATTAATTTATGTAATTAACCGCTTGTAAGTGTCAGTTCCATTAACAGATTAGGAAGACTTTTATGCGTATAATATTTTATTAATTGTTTTCATTATTATTAAAATTACTTAATTACTCTTTTTTATCTATCTAGTGTATTATAATTATTCCTCTATAAAACAACGTCTCCGAAGCTTGAAAGTAAGTTTTCACTAATCGTCAACGTCTGTGAAGCACATCCAAACATCAAGATAGGATTTATGTTGCTTTCAAGACGTATAGCAGTAAACGCCATTCCACTAGGAAGAACATACACGTGAATGGACGATTTCAGGAATATCTGAGATCCTGCTATTTTGTTTAACTGAAAACTGAACACATGTGATGTTTTAAAATAAGATAATCATTAGATCATTTACCAGGTCAACCCAGCCTAAAGTGGGTATCAGGAAATATTATGGGAGATGAAGGCAACTGGCGTGATATTGACCACATCACCCATCAAATGCCGATTGATCTATAAATATTTTAATCCAGTGTTCATATGATTGATGTTCAATGGCGTAAATAAATCCATTTACTTTTCCTACTATTACAAAATCAATGTCTCCGACAAACTATTCCAAAGAAGAGGAAAATATCCTTTCGTATGCATAAAGTTCGACTGCGGAACCTTTTAGCAGTCGCACTAATAAACAACTACAAAATATATGGCAATACAAAATCATTTTTCATACATTTTGTTTACGTCTAGCACTCACGTTTCCTTTACCCTGTGCGAATATCACCAGATATGTATGACTACACTATAACCAGATATGTGTGGCTACCAGTGTTACAGTTGACAATATATATTACGTACAATGTCCACAGACGCATAGTTCATAGCGCGGGTCACAAAATATAAAGGCATCCGCGACTAATGGAATCAAGCAGGCAACAAAATACTTTACGTATGAGGAAGGCGTCAGTGGATCTCAATAAGAAAATGAAAATTACTGATTTGAAGTGGGTTTTTCTTCTTTATTGTCTGCTGCTGCTTCTGTTACTGCTGCTGTTACTTCTTCTTCTTCTTCTTCTTCTTCTTCTTCTTCTTCTTCTTCTTCTTCTTCTTCTTCTTCTTCTTCTTCTTCTTCTTCTTCTTCTTCTTCTTCTTCTTCTTCTTTGCTTCTTCTTCTTCTTCTTCTTCTTCTTCTTCTTCTTCTTCTTCTTCTTCTTCTTCTTCTTCTTCTTCTTCTTCTTCTTCTTCTTCTTCTTCTTCTTCTTCTTCTTCTTTTTCTTCTTCTCTACTTCGTTGTCTGCTGCTGCTTCTTCCTCTTCTTCTTTTCCTTCTTCTTTTTTTTCTTCTTCTTCTTCTTATTCTTCTTCTTCTTCTTCTTCTTCTTCTTCTTCTTCTTCTTCTTCTTCTTCTTCTTCTTCTTCTTCTTCTTCTTCTTCTTCTTCTTCATAAGCATTCTCCAATAAAAGGCAGATGGCACTTTCTGTTGTAATTTACCTCTAGATATCTGCTCCTGTTAGTCTAACATGGCCGATTTCAAAAATTCCCAAATTGGTTGCTCTGGAACCCACACAAAAGGAGCAGTCTTCATTGTAAGTAATCTGCGGTCTGTTATTTATCATCAATCAACAAGTCATTTACAGAACGTTTCTCTCCTCACTGAACGCCTGAAAGTATCCCTTTACCTAGCCAGCTCTCCAGCCCCATGTGCTTTTATTGTCAATGCATCTTCAATGTCTTGTATCCATCTTCGCGATGGTCGACCCCTGCCTCGCCTTCCACAAACTCCACATTTCATCACCGTCTTCTCCAAGCCACCATGACGCTTGATGTGGCCAAAATACTTCAACTTTCGGGACAGGATACTGTTTAGGAGCCAGTTCACCTTGATGTTCAACTCGTTCAAAATGTTGATGTTTTTCCTCTTCCCGATCTATTGAATTCTAAGAATGTTTCTATAATATTTCATTTCAAAAGCTCCAATCTTTTTCCTCAGTGACTGAGTGAGAGTCCAGGGCTCACAACCGTAAGTTGCCACAGGAAAAATGCATGATCTCAAGATTTTTACTTTGAACAATTTACTAGTGCTTTGCCATAGGTTCTTCATGCTATTTAATCTCTGCATTGCTAATACAGGTATTCTTCTGGCTTCTTTTGAGCAGTCGCCACTGTTGTTTACTAAAGAGCCTAAGTATTGGAAATCTATTACATTCTCTATTTCTTCATTTTCGATTGTGATACACGTTTGGTGTTCTGTATTTACTATGGGCATTTTTTTTTTAAATTAAAAAAAAAGATTTACTTCTTTTTGACGGCCAGAATTAATTTTTCTAAACCTTGAACGCTTTCGAAAAGGAGAACTGTGTCGTCTACATATCTGAGTTATGGGATAGGATTACCTCTAATTTTTAGTGGTTCAAAGCTCTCACGTGCCACATCGCTAACTGCGTTTCTCATAATTTTTTCAGCAAATATGTTAGAGAGGTAGCGTGAAAGAATGCAGCCCTGTCTCACTCCTTTTTGCACTTCGAACCATTCTGATGTTTTACCAGCTACTCTGAACACTGCTTGTTGTTCGTGGTAAAGAGATTCCATTAAGTGCACTAGATTATTTGGAAATCCCATGCTTCTTATTATGTGCCATAGTTTATGGTGCTGCGAACAATCAAATGCCTTGCTGTAGTCTATGAAGCAAGTATAAAGATCTATTTTGTATTCGCTACTGTTCTCTAGGATGATTCTCATACTAAAAATATGGTCCCTTGTTCCCCTGTCACGTCTAAAGCCTGCTTGTGTTTCTTGTAGTTCATATTCCAATTTATTCTCAATCCTCCCCAGAGGGATGTTCAGAAGGGTTTTGCTTGCATGACTAATTAGAGCCATAGTACGATAATTGTTACACAATTTAGGATTTCTTCTTTTTTTTTTTTTTTTTTTCAAGGGAATATATACAGATCTGTTCCACGCTTTGGGCCAGTCAGCACTGTTCCAGATTTGCACACATTGTGCATGATGTAGAATTACGCTGGCCTCTCCTCCAGCCTGAATTAACTCTGCTGGTGTGTCGACACATCCCGGAGACTTGCCTGATTTCAGGTTCGTTACTGCTATTCTTACTTCCTCTAACAAAGGTTCAGGCTCTTTTTCTTTGATTGGTCTGTTATTAGGCAGGTATAAATAATTA